AACAACTAGTGAGCAGCATTACCTTACATCATATTAAGATTTTTGTTTGTTTGTGTGTTTTTTGAGACAGGATTTTTTTTTTTTTTTTTTTTTTTTTTTTTTTTTTTTTTTTTGTATAACAGCCTGACTGTCCTGGGACTATTTCTCTCTGTGTGTGTAGACTAGGCTGGCTTCCAACTCACAGAGATACACCTGCCTCTGCCTCCTGAGTGCTGAGATCAAAGGTGTGTGCCACCACCACCAGGCTATATTAAGACTACTTTTTTTAAGTTTTAAAATTATGTGAGTGAGTGTGTGAGTGGGAGAGAGACAGGGCGTGGGGGGGGCGGGGAAGAGAGACCGAGAAGAGAGGAGGAGGGAGACAGGTAGGGAGAGAGAGATCTGTGTGTGTGTGTGTGTGTGTGTGTGTGTGTGTGTGTGTGTGTGTGTGTGTGTGCGCGCGCGCGCGCGCTCACAAGCACACAGAGACAGAGTCCTCTGGCGCTGGAGTTACAGGCAATTATAAGCCGCCTGATTCATGTGCTGCAAACAAGAGCAGGTTCTCTAGGAGAGCGGTACAAGCTCTTAACTCCTGAGCCAGCTCTCCAGTCCCTGCCTCGTGGTTTTTCAACATTACGGCAGGGGGGGGGGTTGACTAGGATCTCCCGTTTTGAGGGGGAATGGCTTGGTCTTTGGGAGAAATCACTGCTTCCTTCAAGCTTCAGTTTGTCTCTATTACATTCAGCAGAATCCACTGCATGTTTGTCTCATCTGTTGGGGATGTCTGGTGGCCCCCTCTCCCAACTAGGGGTCACTTTTGGTCCAAAACAATTAGCTCTTAGAACACGGAGGTAAAGAATGGATGGATGGGTGGAAGAAGCTTTGTAAGGGGTATGTCTTGAACAGCATTTCCTGGAGTGAGCTCCTGACACATCTGAACTACAGCATGCTAAACACTTAACAGTTCCTGGTGCATTTGGTTTAGGGTCAGCAGTGTGGCCTGATGTGTAGAAACCAGGATCTGTAATTAAAAAAAAAGACTTAGCTTAGTATTCTGAATCAACATGGTCTTGGCCATGAGACCTATGGCCAGGCAGCTGCTCCAAACACTAGTGTCTTCTGAACAACAGGGTGATGGCAGCTTACGTAGTGCTGAAATATTTGATGAAATAGTGCAAAGAACCCCTCTCCAGATAACGAACACGCTGCCATGTTCTTCACCTACCACTCACCACCACCTCCTTGGAGCATTAACATGTGTAATAGCCCATAAAAGACTGAGAAATCCAGTTGAAAATGAAGATTAATGTTGCAGAGGCTGCTAGTTCGATTATGGCCTTGAGGACCTAGAGCAAATCTCGAGTACCTTGACTGTGAACATGGTTAGGAGTAAGCAGGGACCCATTGTGGCTTAGGATAATATTTTTCACTCCTCGGGTCTCCACTGGTAACCCCCACACATTTTTAAGGAGCAAAATTGAACCCCAGAGAGTTCTTTACAGAGCTAAGGCTCAGGCTCAAACCGCCCAGCTTCTGGATTATTTCTGAGTCACCGGGATTCTGTATTCGACCAGCCTTGATTCATTTTCACCAAACCTAATTTCCAAAGAGTTCCATTGTGTTTTAAAATGTATTATATTCCGTGTCTACACACACCCAACTCCAGCACTGCTTAGCATCAACTGCTATCACATGGGTGCTTGGAACAGAACCTGGGTTCCCAGGAGAGCAGTCAGTACCCTTAACCAACGAGCTATTTCTCCAGCCCCTGTCTCTTCATTAATTAATTAATTAATTAATTAACTCAAAGGCTTTTTTGAGTACCTATTTTGTGCAAAGACTCAGACTACAATCTGGGGTGAGGAATATTAAAATGCTTAGAATGCTCATCCTTTCCAACCTGTAAAAACTATCTATATAATAACATAAATAAATGCAACATTTTATTGACCATATCAATATATCCATGCATTAAAAATTAATCAGATGTGCTTGGTAAACTGTCATTTCCAGAAAAGGCATATTTCATGCACATGAGAAAACCCTTGTCAAGGAATCCACAGGCCTGTATCCCTTTGTGGTCCACAAGTTATCAGCTCCAAGCTTAGGCTGCCTTTCCTCTATGAAACAAGTTGGGCCAGCATTCTAGTCCTTGGCTTCCCATTGAGACAGTGGCACAAATCTAGATAGCAAAGCCTGCGCTGTGGGAATGCATGGCAGAAAGTTCCTGATATGTAGTCCTGAGTCATTAATGAAGTGTTTTCTTATGTGTGCTTTCATTTTCCTTGCTCTAATCATCCCACAGGCAGGAGAAATTCTGTGAGATGTTCAGGGAGCCTTGCTGGCAAGTGTGAGAGGACAGGTATGTTAGTGAGGCTGTGTCCAGAACACCTGTTCAGGAGACAGGATTTATTTGGATGATAGGCTCAGAGTTTTCAGTCCATGCTTGCTTGCTGTGTGTTTTAGGATCCACTATGAGGCACTATGACCCCACTTTCTACCGTCACTGCCTCCTAAACATGAGTTGTCTATTGAGAATCTAATCCATTGGTTAAGCTAGAGAAGGCTGACCTAACTGTCTCAAGAAATGGACTTGCACAACCCAGCCAGGAGTATGCTTCACTTACCTCCAAGGTTATTTCTTAATTCAGTCAAGAGGACAATGAAAATTCAGCATTGCACAGTGCCCTTTCCATGCCTTTGATGGTGTCTCAGGGTTCTACAGCTTCAGTGGTAACGAAGCATGGGCTGTTCCCCTCCGTGCAGATACGGGGAAAGGCTTTGAGTTTGTCCTCTTAGACACCTGTAGAAGCACCAGTTCAAATTCTCCTGATCTTATACACCTTCATTCCTCCTGTATCTCTATGGTGATACATCCGCTGAAATGGAGCCAATGCATTCTAGCTTTAAACCCAGGCCCCAGAGTTAGAGCCTACTAATCCATCATATCCTTAGACAATGAAGTCATTTATTAAACTCCATTACAGTATGAAGGCTTAACATTAAGACAGAATAATACAAGCAATAAAGGTCACAAGAATGTCAGACTTGTCCTCTGATTGTCTCCTCACCTCAGGAGTGCCATCATTTTCTAAATGCAGGGTGGTAGCAACCTGTTCCCTCTGGTCAGCAGAGACTAAGGAACCAGCCTCAGTCCAGGCTATCATCTGATTCACTTCAGTGCATAAAAGACGAACTCATCCAGTAACTAACACTGAGGTTTCCAAAGAAGGCACTGGGCTCCCATGCAGATGCTGAAAGGTAGGAAGTCAAAGTGACAGGTGGCTGTGATTTAAGTAGAGAAGGACTCCAAGCAAGGGGTTAGAGCTCAGAGCAAAGTGCTGCCAGAACCAGGGAAGTCTACTGCTAAGATCTAGTAAATAGAAATTCCCACTGAAATTAATTCCAGTTGAATAGAGAGTGACTTTTGAGAGTATGTGTACCATTTATATTGGTCTTATACTCAAAAGTGACTTGGGGTCAGGAATGTTTTAAGAATCTTTCTGATTTTTGAAATATTTGCACATATATAATGTGACATATTGGAAATAACATCTAAGTCTATAAGCAGACCTCACTCATACATGTAGCCTGAAGATGACTTTATACAAAATTTTTAGTCTACTTATGTGATCAGGTATTGAATTTCCCACTTATGTTTTCATGTGGATGACCATCAGAGATATGTGTTTCGGATGGAGCATCTGGAATGTCAGAATTTTATATTAAAGAATTTCAATCTATATAAGTAATTCAAATTTAACTTGTCATGCTGTATTTTATGGATAATGTAGGTTGTCGGTAATGGGGTTAGCAGTAATAGTCTAGTGGAATGCAGAATTTGTTTCTTGGCATGAACAAATAATTGAATGACAGGGAAAGACAGAAGACCCCCCCCAAGAAAGGGCATGCAACAGCTTTAGACACACAGGATGGAAAAAGTCCAAGGCTGGGTATTTTGTAGGGCCCCTGAGTCCTCCTCTTTCTCATATTGGTCCTGTCTAGATACCCACCCCTGCTCCTGCCTGCTTGCCTTTTCTCCTCACAGAGTCTCCTGGGAACAAGAAGCCAATCACCTCACTTCCCCCGAATACTCACGTTGCTCTAACTTCCTCACCATCACAGTGTTTCCTGACACTTGGAAGCCAGCATTCCAATTTTTCTGCTTCCACTTAGGACTCCCTTCTGCTCTCCACCTTACTCTGTATCATTACTTGATGGCTCTGGCCGCAAGGTGAAGCTAGAAGAAAGAGCATCCGTCTCCACAATAGTATTTGTACCTGTTATGGTTTGAATCTGGAGTGTGCCCTGTAGGCTCACACTTTGAGTGGTTGGTCCTCAAGGTCTATAGTATCTGGGGAAACTGTGGAACCTTTTGGAGGTATGGCCTGGCTGGCCAAAGTAGGTAACCAGGGTTACAGTCAGTCCCTTGTTCCTGCCACACTCTGAGCCTTCTGGTCTACCATGTCATGGACATCCTTCTTCACACACTCTTGCTGCTGTGAGCAGAGATGCGCTAGCCTTCCCTCTGCACTACAATGATTCCAATTGCTCTGACACTGTGATCCAATGCAAACTCAATCAGGCATTTTAGACACAGCAACACAAAGTAACTAATACAATGATTTTATTCCCAGTTTGCACAACTAAATTCGACATTCATACAGACTCTCTATGATAGAAAAGCATGCCTTGTTTCTTTTTCATGTGTATTAAATGTACATTAGTAGAGCATATAGAAGATGATCTGTAGAAATCTACAGGAACCCCTTATTCTGTATAGAATAGTTTCATTTAAAATATGAGACTAGAATTTAAGTTATATGCAGAATTAACTGCACATATATATTATATTTTACTATATTATATATGCAGTTAATATGTATAACACACATATAACATAATATAACATACATATAATATATGCAGAATTAACTGCATATATTGTCAGGGGAAGTATTACACTAGATCACATTAAATATCACTGAAAATCTACAAGTTGATTTCTTTCTCTCCCATAGATCCTGCACCCTTCCTAATTTTCTCTCATGGAAACAATATCTCTCGGATTGATCCAGAAGGAACAAATCACCAGCAATTGGTGGCAAATGCTGGCAGCTCAGTGATCATGGATTTTCATTACAAGGAGGAGAGACTCTATTGGGTGGATTTAGAAAGACAACTTTTGCAAAGAGTTTTTCTTAATGGGTCAGGACAAGAGGTAAAGTACCATTATCACCTATGCTATGTGAGGAATTTATACATGTGTGACATATTGAATTTTTAATGTGTGGATAATTTATCTAAGGTCGTACCACTCTGAATGGGCCTAATCTCATTGACTAAACAGTACTTAGAACTTGCATGGGAAGATAAAGGAAAGTACACTATGGTTCAAATGTTTGTGCATTAAATATATAGGCATTTCATCTGCCTCTGAGTTTCTATACTATTGATTAAACCTACAAATTGCCATTTACAAGCGTCTAAAAGAAGAACATGAGGAAATAAATGTAATTTTGAAAACATCTGATTTTATCAAGTCAGTCATCATGAAGACATTTATGTGCTTGTTGATTTTGCACCTCAGTAGTGTCCCTTTATGAACATTTGACAGGGTCCTTTTGGTTGTCACACATGAGTAAAACAGGAGGGTAAAGATGCTACAGGCATCTGGAGAGCACAGGGCAAGGCTGTGACTCAACGTCCTGTACTCTGTGGGACAGAACAACAGAGAAGCCCTGTCTAACTTCATGTGTCAATAGTGCTGGGTCAAGAGTGCCTGTTTTATCTGTATCAGTTTTTTTTTTTTTTTTTTTTTTTTTTTTTTGTGGGGGGGAAAATTGCCTGACATCTAGGAAGAAAAAAAAATTCCCTTTGTATTCACAAAGTATTTGTACTCTGGGGGGAAATAATGAAGCCAAGGACAGATAAAAGTGTTGTATTTCAAGTACATACAAAAGACCCTTAATCTTTTTCTTCCACTGGTAGAACCGGGCAGTGAGTCCCAGGAGGAATGTGTGCTGGAGATGGATTACTCAGAACAGGTGATTAGCGGAACCTCAAGCATTTATTCCCAACACAAAGAGCTCATTGTTTGGGTTTCTTTTTTTTTTCTTCTTTTTTCTTTTTTTCTTCCAAGCCAACCCTCTCTCCTTCCAATTAGTCCTCAAAGCTTCAATTAGGTGCACATCTGTTTTAGCTCCTCTCTATCACTGGCTAGCCTCACTTCAACAAGTTTGACTGTGCGGCACTCTTCAGCTGTCTGCTACAACAGCACGGAAATCTGAGAGTGTGGACGCTCCCTGTCACCAAACTAGGAAAAAAGCATAAGCAGTGTGGATTTCTGTCACATCCTTAGGAAGGGATTGGCCTGATGCCTAAGAGCTCGCCATTATGCCCGCTCCTGTGTTTAAATTAAAGCAATGCGTAGAGAGAGCGGCACATGCTAACGTGGAAGCAGTTCAAGCTGATGTGAAAACGCAGCCCTTCTAGGGCTTGGGTGGCCGGCTCGGGCTCTAGCACAGCAAAGAGACTGTGCTGTCTCTACCGAGCCTCCAGCTTGGCGATGTCCTGCGGGGAGTTGGAACTGCACGAGTACGGTTATGACACCACTGGAACCTGGGGGCGGGGAGCCAAGTCTTCCTCTGCCTTGAGCCTTCCAAGCCCCAAGAGGACTAGTTGACTCGCCCAGGTTGGACTCACAGATTCTTTAGTTGGTTTTTTCAAGAAAATGCAAGGGACAGCCCAAGATGTACAAAGAGAAACCCTGCTTCTCTGATGCCATTGAGATCTTCGAGAAGAAAGGGATCTGATGGAAGAAGGGCGGAGAGGCGAAAGAAAACGGGGTTCCATAACGAGACTGCTTCTAAAGACTGTGGGGATAGCTCAGTTGCCTGGCAACACAGAAAACCCTGGGTTTGATCCCCAGAAGTGCATAAACTAGGCGAGGTGATACAGGCCTGTAGTCCCAGCACTCAAGAAACAGAGGCAAAAGGATCTGGAATTCAAAGTCATCCTCAAGGACATAAAGAGTTCCAAGCCAGTCTGGACTACATGAAATCCTGTTCCAAAAGGTGGTGGGGAATCCACTCTATGACTCTGTTCAAAGCATAGTGGAATCTTACCAGAGTTTGGAAAGACCTAAAGCTGAACTCAGGTTAGGATCCCATTACCAAGGGGAATTGAATAAACTGCCTTTAAGCGTTAAAAAAAAATCTGTGAAGTTATTAATATATTGTGGCTGATCTCCTAAATTTCAATAGTATATAGGATAATTTGTTATCCCAATGCTATAATACAAATGGCCTACTCACAAGGAGGGGTGTGCCATCGCTGAATCATTGTGACTATTTTATCATTTATGTGGGGAATGCATTAAAATGGCAAATACTAAAAATGACTGTCTATATGTGCAACAACAGAGCAATTTCGTTGTGAACTATTAATATTCATAACATTAAAATTTGGTTTTGCAGACAGTGTGTCATGTAGAGAAGAATGTTTCTGGAATGGCCATAAACTGGGTAGATGAAGAGATTCTCTGGGCTGATCAACAGGAAGGAGTCATCACCGTGACAGATATGAAAGGCAACAGTTCTCACGTTCTTCTAAATTCCTTAAAGCAGCCGGGAAATGTAGCAGTGGACCCAACAGAGAGGTAAGATCCTGTGTGCTTGTTTGTCTGTTTTTAAGGAAATTGAAATGAGCTTCAAATCTCATCAAGATTCCTAAATCCTAATACCTGAAAGGCAAAAAAGGACTTCTTGAGTAAGACACAAATCCCTGTTGACAAGGCACAGGTGCCATTTTCTCCAAAACAAGCAGCTGAGCTGGGACTCTGTAGACACTCCTCCCTGCCCGATTTTCTGCTCTAAAAGCTGAGTTTTCTTTCCCCCTTGAAATCACATGGCATTTCCAATAGGAAATACATACACACATCTGAATTCTCATTCAGAAAGACTCTCCCTGGGCAGGCACCAGAGGTGGGAGCCCCCACTTTAGTGACTGTTCATTCGGTTATGGCTGTGCGTGATGTGTTCATCCCCAGGTTGATATTTTGGTCTTCTGAGGTGGCCGGCCGCCTTCACAGAGCAGATCTCAGTGGGGTGGAGGTGAAAACGCTGCTGGAGACACCGGAGAGGATAGTGGTACTGACTCTGGATGTACTTGACAAGCGCCTCTTTTGGGTTCAGGACAGCGGAGAAGGAAGACAGGCTCACATTTGTTCCTGTGATTATGACGGTGGCTCCGTCCATCTTCTCAAACATCAGACACAGTAAGTTTTGCTTCTGATATGCAGCAAAACAGTTGCCATTTGAAGCTGGTGTGATAAATTCATTTTACTCTTGTCAACTAAAGGGGTATATTAGTTTACACAGAGTCATCAATTAATTCCTGGTGAGTGACTTTGGACAGGTTCCTTAATGTTTCCTGTAGTCAGATTTCTTTCATGTGGGCATGTAAAATTGCCTGTTGACGTCATTGTGAAGACTAAGTAAATGCGTGTGAATACTAGTTAGCAATGTGTGTAGCATATGTCACTTGAACTCGTCTTCCGTCATCATTTTGCAATTTACATTGTCTCTCGTGAAACTTGCTCTGGAGACAGTTTGTGGAAGAAGCGAAACTTAGCCTGGCGTGAAGCTATCGAAACCAGCACCCTATCCACACCTTACTCCTGGTTTCTTCTCCATTTTCATCACCCTTGTGTGTGACTGTAGAACGAGGAGGGAGGTATAGCTAGAAATTGTATCCTATTGGTTCCAAGTATGATGACGTAAACCAAATTTTAAACCTAAAATGTGTTTGTCTAAACCAAAGTAAGAAAAGAGGGATGACCAAAATTCAAACAAACAAACAAACAATTCCCAAGTGAGGAATTCAGCTTTAAAAATTCAAGTAATACATGCTCTGTCATTAACCCTTTCCCCCCTTTTTTCTGGGTGTTTTTAGGCACGGCTTGTTTACAATGGCCCTTTTTGGTGACCGTATCTTCTATTCAACATTGAAAACGAAGGCGATTTGGATAGCCAACAAACACACGGGGAAGGACATGGTTAGAATTAACCTCAATCCATCCTTCCTGCCACCTGGAGAACTGAAAGTAGTGCACCCACGTGTACAGCCTGGGACAAAGGACGGTGCTCGGGGCTCTGGTGAGTCGCTGGTTTCCTCAGAAGAAGCTGGCACATATTCACTCCCTATCTACTGGCTCAAGCTAAAATCTTAGGAATTGTGTGTAGGGGGATAAATTTTTACTCAGCCCTCATCAGTTCTTAGTTAAAACATAGTCTTGAAACAAAAGGCAGATTAAATGAGGAAAATATAGACATTAGCATTTCTTTTCGTATAAATGAAGGAGACACCCAGGGTTCCTAAAGAAATTAAACATGGGACATGACTAGAACAATTTAGTCAATTGTTTATTTACTTGGCTAACATTTACTGCTTAAGGTTTACTTATCTATGAATAACTATTGAGTACATGGTAGTTAAAAGCCTGAACAATAAAACAAAATAAAATGGTCTGACTTGAAGTACTTTCATGTTATTTATTAACGGAGGGGAGACAGAATAAAGAAGAAAGCAAGTCAGTAGGTAATTACACCTTGTAACGGGTTCAGTGAAGGATGTACCAAGAGGAAAGCAGGGCTGTCAGTGTGCTATTTGATTGGCTGATCAAAACCAAAACCAAAAGGCCTATCTGAGCACGTGGGCACTTAAGAGAACATTTCAAGAAAGAACAGTAAATTTACAGAGAAGTGACATGACAGAAAAAATACTCTGAGGCCCTGCTAGTGGGCCTCTGGGAGTAGAGTACTCAAGGGCAGATGGAGGCCCGTTGGAGCTGTTAGTATCCAGCTTTCTGGAACTGTCTCCCAGCAAGGAGGGTGAATCTGACTTTGGGGGTTTTATCCTTGCTCTCCCTGTAGGACACCTTTGAAAGTCTTAGGCAAAGGGGGCGGGGCTTGCCTGGGCCTGCAGAGGTTCGATGCCTTCAGCCCAACTGTCTTGATATTTGGGGGACGGGTGGTAGTCTGGTGGTCTCAGTTTCTCCCACCAAATTCCTTCCATTCCTCCTCCCAAGTGCATCTCAGACGTGTAGCCCCACATTCACCAACAGCCAGTCTGTCCTTCCTGGCCACGTACAGTGATTGGTCACTAACTGGTCAGCAGCCAGTCTGTCCCGCCTGGCCTGGTATAGCGGTTGGTCACTAACTGATCTGTTTCTTTCTTCATGCCTTTAAAGAGCAAATCTGATCCATTTACTCCCCTGCTTGGAATCTTTAAGGCTATCCTTGGAATTCGGGTTGAAACTCACAATGGACCTGGCCCTGCTGTATTTGACCAACTTGCTTTAGTGTCCTTGACCTACCTGAGGGCTAAGGAAAGCCTTCCTTCAGGTCCTCAGACAGAGACGGGTACACAGGTCTTTAGTTTCAGCTCAGCTGATCCTGCTCTGAGCACGAGGGCCACACACTCAGAATGGCATCTGGGTGTTCCTTCACCTCCTGCGTTTCTTTCATTTCCCCCTTAGTTGGATTTATTATAAGATATAATTATGCATTAGCTTGCTTTCCTTTCTATTTTCTTTCTCACTTGTTTCTGTGTGATGTGCAGGTACTTATAGGCAAATTTTATCTGTCCCATTTCTGTGTATTTTTCACCACTAAAATGCGATAGATAGTCACAAATTTTAAATAATATAGCTAAATGAATGAATAATTGTGCAAATGAAGTCACAGACTCAAATTTCAGCTTCTAAGTGTAGTCTCTACTTAAAAATTTTAACATCTAATTGCTGGTGTTTTTCAAAGTCTGTGTGTGTGTGTTAGTAATTATTTTGGACAGTAGGCAGAGTTTTCCTGTCCTGTAATCACTCTCAAATAAGCACACTGAGGCTTATATTAATTATAAATGCTCAGCTAATAGCTCAGGCTTATTACTAACTAGCTCTTACAACCTAACCCATTTCTATTAATCTATGTGACACCTGAGTTTCACGGCTTTTACCTCTATCCCATTTTGTGAGTCCTACTTGTTCTCTGTCTGGCTGGTGACTCTTCTGACTCCATCCTTCCTCACCCCATCATTCTCAGTTTGGCTTTCCCACCTGACTTTATCCTGTTCAGCTATTGGCCAGTCAGCTTCTTTATTAAAGCAATCATAGTGACATATATTCACACAGTGTACAAAAGGATTATTCCACAGCACTCAGGGTGGAATCTGCCACATAGAAGATGGCATCTCATACTCAAGTGAAAGTTTCATTTCTTACATTTATGAGCACAAATTAATGAGCTTTATTATGACATCTTCAAACAGGAACTTTGTCCATACTTGCCTCCATTGCCCTCTCTTGTACCCCTCCCCCTCCTGCTCCCTGCTACTCTCAGGCTTTCATTTTCATCCTTATGTAAACATTTTAAGAAAGTTTTCAAACACATGTAGTTTTATTCTCAAATAGCTTTCTGAGGCACTGCACAGCGGGTACATTGCAGCCTTCCTGTTGGAGACCATTAGGGTTTGTCGATAGTGTTGAAGTGTTAGGGACTATAGGCCTGTGCTGCGCATGGTATGTGGATGGCTTCATGTTTGGATGTGTCTCCTAAAGGGAACTACAGGGGTGAAGAGGTGGCATGGGCTTGTGGAAGGGAGGCTGGAATCAAGGGGGCACTCACCTTGTTGTTTGTTACACACACAGGTAACTACTAGTGAGAATCTTTTTTGTTTGGCTTTAAAACTGACCTAAAAAATGCCATTAGGCTAGGAGGTGGTGGTGCAGGCTATTAATCCCAGGACTCAGGAGGTAGAGGCAGCCTGGTCTACAGAGTGAGTTCCAGGACAGGCTCCAAAGACATACAGAGAAACCCTGTCTCAAAAACAAACAAAAAACACCAAACAAACAAACAAACAAACAGAAACAAAAAATCCACCAAAAAAAGTGTTAAACTGCAACAACCTAGCATCGACTCCGTAAAACAAAAGCTGAAACTAGTCCTCCATGTGAAGGCTGTGAATCCCAGACTTCTGACTTCCCATAGGAAACTTGACTCAGGCTCTCTGCTGCAACTCACCCGGTGTTGGTGACTGGAAGTAAAACCAGACTCCCTGCTTTGAGGCACCGCCCTTTAGTCTTAGTTATTTCAGCTAACTGTTCTTATTTATAACAGTCGTGGGTGTTGACCATCACCACCACCTCCCATGTAGCCTTGCAGTTTCCTAAGTCCTTTCGTGTATGTTATTGGTCCATCAAGTAGCATTGTAAGACAGGAAAGATGGAATAATAGTATTATCTCATGGTTCATAAATAGAAGACGTGGAGTGACTTTTCTATGACTACACAGATAGTTAGTGGCTACAGGATTTGTCGTAGTTCTTAGCATGTAGGATTTGGGGAGAACTCCTGACCAATACTTCAGATTGTGTTCTCTCATCTGTAAACATAGTCTGTCTAGAATCCCTCACTATTAGCTAAGTTTCTTTGATAGGGATTCAAGTAAGATCACCGAAAGCATCAATTTCAGAAGAAAATCTAGGGTTTACTGAAGAGCATCCTCAAACCACATGATGACAAAATAGAACTTGGTTGGGAAGCCACAGTCAGTGCAAAATCAGAAAGGCCTGGTATCTGGGATGCAGCTGGCACTGGGATTTGGCTCTAGTCATTGACCCAAGTGTGACTGACATGCATACTCCATGTGCAAGGCAACTCTGGATTTCAAGAGTGTTGCCACACTGGCCATCATTGACTAGGTTTAAGTTGTTTTCAATGCATTAGCAAGCAGGGATTCTTCACTTGGGACTTGGGGAGACCAGAGCCCTTTTTTATTTTATACATTAGATGAATTATATGAAATATGTCATTGTTTCCCCTGGGGCACAAATAACCATGTAATGTTTATCAGGTCCTCAATCTGTCAGATACCTTTCAACTATAAAGACACATTTCTCTGGAGACTACTGGGTTCCTTCCTCAGATTTGTTTAAAATTGGAGTTCCCATGGGAGTTGCTCAGCATCACCGGGGTTTAGGAGACAGATATTTAATAATGAAGCTACTTCAATGAGATGCGTGAGAAAATTCCTGTAACCTAGTGACATCAATTTCGTATGAAACCCGAGTGCTTGATGCAAATTAGAGAACCCATGAACTTATTTCTTCTTGTGAAATGACTAAGCCGTCACTTATCAGGGATGCGCTGTAAAATTTTAGTTCTTTGGAATCTAACAGGCTATTTGTGTGTGTGTGTGCTCTGGAGAGAACCTTCTGAGGTTAAATGCCTTTGAGATGCTAGGTTCGACAAGCTGTTTAAGCAGGCTGATTTCCTTCAAGTGGGGAGTCACGTATGGTTAGATGCACTGCTTCTCTCTAAGGACCATTTAGCCTGTGGCACTTGCTCACTTAATTTCTTACATAGCAGCCCATGACTTAAATCTATTCTTTCTAGTGTAGACCCAATTTTGAGCTCTAGCCAAATAAAACAAGAGTACTGAGTTGCAAAGATGCTTTGCAGAGGAAGGCTTCGGGGCAGGTGGATTTAAAGCCCTTGGGACTTATTCATAATATCCCAAAGGGAGCAACCCTGTGAAGACTGGTTTGACCCCGGCAGAGATGCCATCCAGGGAAGCAAAGCCTTTAGCGTCTTCAAGGAAGATGGATGTGCTGGTGTGTGAGCATCCTTCATTCCTATGCTAAGACAGATGGACCTTTAGTTACAGGAGCTTCACACTGCTGTGGGAGGAGGAGAGCCACAGCTTCTGAGGACTGGCTATCTCCTGGAGAGCTTCTGAGGTCTTTCCTCTGGCCGCACTCTTTTGCTCTGTCATCCTGCAAGGTCAAGGTTTTGAATGTGCTTGGCTGCAGGACACCTTCCCCCAAGGCCTTCACTTCTGCCTTCCGAGCATCTCTACCTGGATGTCTTTGCTCCAGTCTCAAAGGACAAAACTGACCTGTGAACTCTGCCCACCTAGTTGTTCCCAAAATTGGCACTTTAGTCCCAGAAGCTTGATGAGAGTCAACATTGTTTCCAGACTACTTGATGACAAAGTCTGCAGGTGGCATAGCACACCTCCTGTGGTGCCAGTTTATGGACACGCAGGGGCCAGCTCCCACTCTGTTTCTGGGTAACCATTAGGTTACCCACAAGTTGCCAGCTTGGTCCATCATCTGTAAAATTCCCTTCAGTCCTTTGAACAATGGCTTTAGAAGCTGCTAATTAGTGCCTATGACCCTAGAACCATTTAAAACAAATTTTTTTCTATCGCCATTGTTTTTTAAACTAAAAGTACAGAGTGAAGCCATTCTCACTCCAACACTGCTTATCACTTATCAGCTAGAATTCTTCTACAGAGAGGAATCTTTCCTTGTCAAATATGTTACTGCTCCGAGGAGCAATTATAGGAAAGGCAAATTCAAAACTCGATCCTGTCACTTGACATATGTGTTTTCAGAATAAGAAGTTAATTTCCCAGTATCACCCAAAACTGACTTTTCCCAAAGCATATTTATAAACTTTTACTTTATTTTATGTGCATTGGTGTTCTGCCTACATGCATGTCTGTGTGATGGTGTGGAATCCCCTGAAACTGGAGTTATAGATAGTTGTGAGCCGCCACGAGGATGCTGGGAACTGAACATCCATCCTCTGGCAGAGTGGCCAGTGCTTTTAGCTGCTGAGTCATCTCTCCAGACCCGCCCCCCAAAGGTTGATGTGTTAATATTGGTTGTTGTCATCCTCTGGATACTCACACTGCAGAGGAGCTCATCTGAGGCTTGCCAGCTTAGGAAACATGAATACCATGCTCTGCCCCCTGAGGTGATGCTGATGCTGATGCTGATGCTGGAGGTCTGGAATGCAAGGCTGAGGTTGGGCTTAGAATGACCACTGTGCCACTGCAGACAGGCAAAATGGGGGTGGTGACAGGAGTAGAGTCATGCATGCCTTGTATCCCTCACCTCCATCCTATGGGGTGTCCAGGCATGTCAGAAATGGGCATAGAGTAAGAAAGGAAGGGGTTTTATAAGAATAAAATACTAGGTGTTCCCCCTAGTACAGATAATTGAACACAGGAACTAGTGCGTGCCAGGCAAATGCTTGACCACTGTCTACACCCCTGGCCCAAAGCAGTTATTTTTCAACTGTTTCAAAGCTGTTACATAGTTTACTTCTAATTCTTACAAGAATCCAGAAGGATAAAAATAGCAAGTAGCCAAATCCTGTTCAGATGGGAGGAGGGGAATCACCATTGAAAATTCCAGTATCACAAAATGGCAATTTTCATGTTTTGTGTGTTGATTCACAGAGGACTGCCCCTCCACCCTGCAAAAAAACTATACTAGATACTTTTGGAAATCTTTGAGGAAGTTCAGGTAATTATTTATGAGAACTCATTAATAAGAAGGGCAATAAACAAGTGAATCAAAAATGTAATCATAGGTTTTACAGAGATTTACACACACTATAACATTTTAAGTAGGTATACACACACACACACACACACACACACACACACACACAGAGAGAGAGAGAGAGAGAGAGA